CAGCGAAACTTCTCCTACGTCTCGGTGGGTCTAACAAACTCATTTAAATCCAAACTGGTATTTTACAAAGAATTGAAAAAGTGCCTCTGGGTCACCGCTGGGGCACCGGAGTGGGCTCATTTGCCCCAAATGGCGAAGATCCTTTACAAACAACACCATTGCTAATTTAAAATAAACACATTGAGGGAAGCGAGGGGCCACAGTTTCCCTGACACTGGCGAAATTTCAACAGGGAAACTGGCGAGGGTGCAATCGCAGCTCCTTCTGGCTGAGCGGGTGCAGATGAGGCCAGGCGGCTTACTTAACTATGAGAAAACAACAACAGCGCTCAGAGCCTGCGAATAACAAGGCCAGTAAGAGCCCAATCAAACGCTACATTTCCTCTTAATGCACTCCACAAAAAAGGAGACTGTTAAAAAATAAATAAATAAAAATGAGGCATATGGACAGAGATTGTCATGTTGAGTAGAAAAAAATGAAAGGCATGCTAGGTGGCTTTGCTTTCTCCCGTTGAGCGATACTTTTGACTCATCAGCCGCAAAAACAACTCATTTCAAGGGTAGTGAAGATGGAGAAGGAGATGTGAAGGAGCTGAAGGACATGAGGGGGAACTGTGGCCCCCGTCCACCGCTCAGAGATATCAGAGGGAACAAGGAGAGCGAGGAGAGGCTAGTGGGGAGAAAAGGAGTCATTTCAAGGCTAAGGACACACAAATGCAAAGCACATGACAAGTGTGTTGGTGTGCAGAAATGCGTTGATTTGGCAGAACGCTGTCTCCAGGCTTTCATAAGCTTGTATGACTCAGTCAGAATGAGAGGAAGCCAAAAACGAGGAAAATCAGAGAGAGAAGAACTAAAAACAGAGGTGAGGTGGAGGGTGTAGCTGCAGAAAGGTGGATGACATCACATCTTTTAAAAGTATACACTCAACAGGAGGACAGCTTTTGATCGCCCCGCATTTTTTACACTCATCGGAGGAACAAATGTTTCAATACAATTATATGAATAATGTGAGTTAATGAGAATACATTTTGAAATCAGCCTCAAGGTCATTAAGACACAAGAAAGAGGAAATTAATTATTTATATTATATATACATATATATATATATATATAAATATATGTCATAAAGTTTAAGATTTCTGATTAAAATTTACAGAATACTACAGGTTGGACAGCCAGTTACTGTAATTTCCTATGATAAATTTAGAATAGACTAGATTTTCAATAATAATTAACCAGGCGATCATTACCCAGCAAAACTCTACAAAGTTTTCAGTATGCAGAAAATTAGTAGTGCACAATTACCGCATTTACCTGGTAGTTAATAGCCTTCGGAGCTTAAATCACTAATTCCTACTTAACTATTATTCAAAAAAAAAAATCTGTTCTAAAAATTGCAATATGAAAATCACCCATATAAAAACAGGAGTGAGCACGAGGTGAGCATCTCTACTCAACACTGATTTGCACTCTAAATTTCCCTTGCAGCGTATAAGCAGGAACTCTCAGGACTATTTGGGGACATGGGTCTCATGCGAGTCTACCCAGGTGCATTTGCATAAAGTGCAACGTTTTATGTCATTTCGACCGACTGAATATGTTTACAAAATGCACACGTTCATGCACTGATCTGCATTTCTTTCTACCACAAACATGTAGTTCCACAAAGAGGCACTTGCAGCTGCCTGTAAAAATGAGTCAATCCTCATCATCTTCAATAATAAAATGTGACTTTAAAGAAGAAAAATAAACATTTTTAGAGCCAGACAGTAAAAAAAGTATTAAATATTTATATAAGTTGACAGTTTAAATTACATCAAGGCTTAACATCTTCATTATTTTGCACATGGACGATTTGACTATGGCTGCTAGCTGTTTGCTCGGCATCAAATCAGCTATTTCATAGTCAGTGAACTGGATCTCTTGTATGTGTTCATGTTTGCAACACTTTTGAAAGCCTTATTAAACTAACAATATTGCTCGTTGTACATTAATCGCTCCAAAAATGCAAAACTAATTTTGGTCAGTAAGACTTAAACGGGTGACGTCACTGTGGCAACATGAAGCACGGGAAGTATTGAAAATAATAAGCTCCACACACCAAAACCAAGAGGTCAGATCTTATTCTTATGATTTCCGTATAAATAACACTGTTATTTTCCCTGGTATTAGGTCAAATATGTTTCCTTCTCAAAGCATCCGACAAGCCAAATGAGAAGTTTTTAAATGTAATACAGAGCTTTACTTTGTAATATATCACCGCATTTCAAGACATCTATAGCAAGCATCAGCTGGCCCAGAAATGAAAACTCCTTGACTTCATTTTTCTTGCAGGAAAGTGTTTACTGGCTTTATTCACACTTCATCCCTCTTGATTCCGATCTTGTTTCAAGTGACACTTTGAAACTTCTCTTCAAAATTTGCTTTCCAGTCGGGTGGAAACGCCACCTCTCCCTTCCTGCCGTCCTCACTGCCTCTCTCTTTACTTTCCTCCCACTCTCCATGTCTCATCAGGAGTGTCATCAACCCCCACTCTGGTTGATGGCTGTTAATATGGCAACGCTATTGTCTGCCCGTTTGTGGCTGCTGTCTCTATTGTTTGCTCTCACACTTGATGAATTCATCAAAGGAAAAAGAAAAGGGAATGGGAGAAAATAGCTGCAAATCATGCAGTTTCGAACAATTGACTGTGTAAGTCTGGCAAGGCGAGTCTTTGTCTTCAAATGGTGCACGAAATACGTGTTTGCTTGTGTAATGTTGCACATGCATCACTTGTTCTGCCATTAAATAGGTGGGACGGTCCTCAACCACTGATAGTCTATGTGCCTCTGTGTGGGTAGAAGTGTACATACAGTTAAGTGTTTGTGTTTTCTGTAGGGGTATCCTACGCATTCTCATAGCAGAGCGTTAAAAAGTGACGTTTCTGTCAGAAGCTGTTGGCTTCAGATACGGACAAACTGTCCTTTGGTGTTGGAGCAGTACTTGATGCAAAGCATAGATGGCATATAAAAGATCTATAAAAGATGGATGTGACCATCTGATGTGAAGTCCTGAAGTAAAGCCCTGAGCTGAGCATTGTCGTAGTGTCCACTCTTGGTGTTTTAACACCAGATGTGACCAGCAAAGGGTCACATCCGGCTAAAATGCAATCTCATTGGCTATTGATTTGTGATCGGCAAGCCACCAGTCCATGAGAATAGCCTGGTTATCCTTTTTAAATTAGTCATGACTTGAAAATAGCAACTCAAGCCATAACATCATCAGGGAAGTGTTTTGAGAGGTCATAGAAAAAATGAGCAGATAGTTGACTGCCCACAGATTTCTACTGACTAACCAAGTTTGTGAAATCCTGCTTTAGAGGTGTACTCAGTATTTTTTTTTGTATTATTTACTTAGAAAAAAAGGGTATTATACTCATAAATATACATAGATTACTAATTGTAATTACTAATTGTATTGTATACTAATTGTATTGTGTAATTATATCTTCCAAGAAACTGATATGTTCTCATAAATTTCTAATTAATTTTTAATTAATCCAAATTTTTAATTAAATACAAAGGAGCAGGTTTGTGGTTTGTGTTCCATGTTCTCCACCGCATTTGAATACAGTGGCCTGAAACGACATCTCCCATATGATTGGCTGGAGATCTGCCACATAAATAAAACACCTAAGGTGGAGGAGAAGAGACATTTGCTTATTTATCCCTGATATTGTTTTAATTACTTATTATCAGCAGACTAGATTTGCGACCTTCCCATCTTCGGACAGCTAACAATAGCTAATATTAAGCTTGCGTAACCTAAGAATCACGCTTTCCCTCTGATAAACTGTTTGATTTAACGCTCATATTTTGCAAGAGATTATCTGCTAAGAGTCCAAAAATGTTAGATCCACTTCAAAAAAAGTTGATCTAACGCTGGCTAAAGCAGCTAACAGAGGCTAATAGCAGCTAAAACAAGACTTACTGACAGAAAGGTTCAGTCCTCAACTTAGTTTCATTATCATCGATCAGAAGCGAGATTCTCTAACTCACTGATCTGTAATGGACTCTTTCCCAAAGTTTTACAGCCTCTTTCAGAGTAAATAGACCTGGAGATGTCACCTGACATTGTCATCTGAGGTGATCAGTAGACAAACAGCCTTTCACATATGTTATAAATTTAATGTTTCTGACCTTCTTAGGCTGACTACAGCCTGACTACAATTTACACAATGTAATGTTCAATTCTCAAGTTAAGCATGAGGGCTGTTCCCATCTTGTTTGAGCCACAAATGACCTTAATTGGATACAGAAGCATGCTAATTTATAAGCTAATGCTAGTTAGCTTGATTAGCAAGTCTGGCTATTAAATAAAATGCAGATTTATGGCACTTCAGAGGCAGCTTCAATTTCAGACATAGAGGGTCTTCCCATCTTTCATATAATCTGTAATGCCGAGAGCTAGCAGTGCTGCTTTAACCCTCTGAGGTCTAAGTCATCATTAATGATGACCCTAACCCTAAGCAGGTTACTTGTGATCTGGTGTGTATTAACCCTCTGATATAATCACTGATGATTGTAATTCTAACCCTATCATAATCCTAACACTATTATAACATCTTTTTGTTAATTTGTCTCTACTGAAAACATTGAAAATGATGCTTAATTGTACTCTGGTGGGTTTTAATGTGATGCCAAGGGCTCCTGAGTCATGGCACCAAGGCCAAAGGACACCTTGGGCTTATCTCTGAGACACCAGCAGCTTTGACAAAACAGGAGCACTTGACTCCCCAAGAAGAGGGACCAAAGTACCTCGATTCATTATCATAACTTAGGCTACTGTATCATTGTATTTGCATAAACGTTTGTTGATATTTTTATGATTTATTTTCTTCATCATGAGAAATAAAGGAGAGAAACATAGGTAAGAAGGAAGAGAAACTATAGCAGACAACCATACATGAATGAATGAACACATCACCTCTAAGTACTGTGTAACCGTGTTGGTTAGTACCTTTGCTCTGTGGAGGGTTCTGGCTGCGATCTCGGAGGATGTTGATCTGGTAGACGGCTCCATACGGTTCGAATAGCTCCTTCAGCTCCTTCTCTGACCAGGAGCGTGGAATCTGGCCCACAAACATCTTGATGGCGTCCGGGTCTGGCTGGTCCGAATGCTCCAGCGCCCCGTTCATTTTTCCGGCCGTGCCGTTACTGTTGAAGAGACAAAAGGCGGGACATTAGAACATCACAGACAAACCAATATCACTAACAGCTTAAGAATCAGGGTCTCTGTGTTCATGTTATGTGATTTAAACTGGATCTACAATGCTTTTAAGCATTTTCCTAATATTTTTGATTATCGTAGGAATCTCGAACTAAAACTACACACCCGTAAACACACTTAGACACAAACAAACTTGACCTGAAGCTAAATTTGAAAACTTAAAAGCAGTTTTCACTGGCAGAACAGCGTTACCCCGCAGTTTCAATTTCAAAAGACCAAATATCCAAACCGTGCTCTGGCTTGCTCATGGAAATTTCCCTTGTGTTAAAATAAATAACCTAAAGGTTGAGTGTATCGTTTCTGCACACAGCACAATTACACGTTTCAAATTTGCTCCCCAAAATTCAGCAGAAACTAAAATTTACGCAGCAGCATAAAAATCTGTCTTTGTTGCCTTGATTTTCAGCTTCACAACTGATTTTCTCAGTCAGCCCAGTGTATTGTAACCTTGTGGGGTTTTTTTTTAAACTAGTCATCCGCACACACATATATATTGGTTTTTGCATACTGCAGTATCTAATAGAGTAGACATAGAATAAAATGGCCAAGATCCTAATGGGTTAAAGTGATTTGAAAGCTTAAACATCTGTAAAAGTAGAATATCATGAATTCTGAAGCATTTCAAAGCCACTATAAGAGAAGATACTGAGCTTTCAGCAGACACACACATGAAAAAGGAGGAAATAATAAAATATCTTAAATTAGAACCTTGGAACCAATATTGTGCAAAAAATTAATTTAACTTCAAAAAATGCCCTCCCAGGTTTTCATTCATAACACTATGAAAAAGGCTCTAAAACAGCCTTTAGAAACGTCACAAGGACACTGAAACTCAGTGAGAGCCACACTAATAAAATTCTCTTGGGTGCCTTCGCAGCTCCTTACAGCGGGGCGAGACAGCTTTCAATTTAGGTTTTACAGCCTGATATCCCCGAAGCCGGCAATTTTTATATACACTGACCTGACACATCAGCAAACTGACATTTCACTGTGATGCTAAGTGTGGATTTTTGATAGCGGAGATGTAGCGATGGATCTATATGGGATGTCAGTAAATCCACACTGAAGGACTGAGGTGAACTCAGATTTTATTTTACAGCGCAACAGCAAAAGCAGCATACAAAGTACGTCTTTTTTTTTTCACTGCACTTGCCGACACAAGACCGAGCTGTAGCCGACAGAGGAGACACTCTGTGCGAATATATGTGCGCCGTGATGCATGTGTGAATGTTTGTGCGTGTTCGCACGCCTCGCTGGATGCGGGGTAAACAGCGTGCGGCGTGGTAATGCGAGGTTTTGTGTGAGGGATTAGGCTGCAGAGCCAGTACAGTAAACCTCCAGGCCGCCTCTAACAGGACACAGATGCTTACACGCCGATCGGTCTGCTTATATATCTCCACATCTGGAATGCATACGAAAAGGAGTTGAAGTGCTTTCCCGCCCTTTCACTGCAGAGCAACAACACTTATCGTCACAAAACACACTCGTGGCTCCTCTCTCTGTTATTTATTTATTTAATTATGCACCAATGAAGGTGAATAACTTTCAGCACCTTTCAGCAGTAAGGCCATGACAGAGATGAGAGCGGCACCTGAGTACGCACGAGCCAAAGTGTGGCTGTGTTTTGACGATAATCACACACACATGGCTGCAAACAACCTCTTACATACACGCAAGCGCCATCAAGGCCTGTGGTCTATTGAAGACGGCTGAAAACCAGTTTAATGAAACCAAAGTCAATGGCTGTGCTGTTTTATTGCTCTTCTCTTCCTTTTGTTGTTCTCAGCAGGAGAGTGAAAAAGCATTATCTTAAGAGGCAAAAACAAAACAAAGCCAAATCCTGAGCTTGGTTAGCTGACAACGCTAATACCACCCTATAAAGCTCAGCGAGAGCGAAAGGAGAAAGAGTTGCAGGAAGGAGGGAGGGGGAAAGAGAGAGATTGAGGGAGAGGAAAGAAAACATCCAGACCTTTGAACGCGGGCCATCCATCTTTTGCAGAAAGAGCCAAGGCGCTCGGCAGAAACGCCCAATTCTTTAAAGGACATAAAGGACATGTCAAATAAAACGCCAGAAATGGAGAAGGAGTCAACGAGCCAAGCCCGTGCTAACAGTCCTCTGGGCAATAACCGCTCCTCGCTAAGCTGTCCGATAAATCGCTCGGGCCTGGGTACTGCACGAGCCCCAAGGGTGGTAGCTGACGGCAGGGGGGGGAGGAAAGAAGGGAGGGAAGGGCGGCGGTGGTAGCAAGTAGCTGACTGGCCCTATCACCGGCTGATATTTAGCCACATAAACGGCGAAGACGACTGCATCGGACAAGCTGCGGTGGTCGCTGGGTTCAGACTGCAGCACATCATGCCTTCGCCCTCTGACACACACACACAAAGCTGATGTGTGTGTGAAAGCTAAAGAGCAGAAAGAGGGGGAATAGGCTGGAGACAATCCCTCATTGTTAGCTGTTTATGTGAGGCTTGTGGGGACTGAGCAAGGCCAAGGGGGGAGACGATACAATAGCCGGTGTCAGAGGATCGCCTCCCTCGTCCATGACACTGTCCACCCTGTGCTCCTTCCACCATTCACTCTGCCTGCTAAGACAATGAATAGCTTCACACCAGCAGCCATAAGGTGTACGAATGCTCACAGAGCTGTCTTGTGTAGATTGCACGCTCCGTCTTTCCCTTAGGTGGTTGGAAGTAGGTGCCTCTGCTAACTATAAAGGAATGAGCGGCTCTTCCATCGCCCCTGTGGCCAAGACTGACAAGGTGTTATTGGAGGCAGGCAGAGCTTTATAGTGTGTGTGTGTGTGTGTGTGTGTAGATGTTTGTGAAAGTGTGTGAAGCTTAGCAGGAGAGTGTCCTGGGGCTCGGATTAAGTCGTTGAGTGGATCCACTCCTGCCATAGACTCTCCATCTCCCTCCCTCTTTCCCTCTTCTTGCTCTTCTTTTCTCTCTCCCTCCCTCTCAATTTGAGCCAATTGTTTGCCTTAATGGCTTAACTATTGCTTCCATCACTCCGGTCTCCCTGAAGCACAGGGCTGTGACTGAGGGCTGATCTACACTCACTATGTGTATGTGTGTATTAAGCCCGGCTAAAAAAAAAGTGTCTGGGTAGGGCTTTGAAGCATGTGCTGAGGGCTGCTATTCCCTCACCTTGCACTCACATTAGACAGCAGGCTTGTTTGACCAAACTACAGCTGCATTATATTGATCATAAAACCTTATGATGGTTATTTATTTATTCATGCATCATCTTCATTATACATTCACAGCTCCTCAAACCTCCTCTCTCAGCATATTTTTGGCAAATTCAATAATTGGCTTCAGTGGTAACAGTGACATGAGAAGCGAGCTATCAAGACGTGCTTGCCAGGACTGTAGCATGTCTGAACCCAGCTTAGCTCAGATACTGAAAGATAACATTTATTTAATGTGTGTTTTTCACTTTACTTGGGCATGAATCAAAACGGAAATGCAACAGAAAAGCTGGAAATGTTTATCATCAAGCCATTCACCACTCATCCGTGTGGTTTCTCTCTTTTCAGTGCCCTCAGGTTCCAGCTGTTAACTTGTAGAACACACAGTTAACAGTCAGGTTGCAGAAAGTGACTTATTTGGACTTAAAACATCTACTTTGTGGGAGGGCTGGTTTAAGCACATTTAAAGAAGCTGTTTAGAAGCAGAATATAGTCCAAAGTATAGCCAAGAAAACAGTTAGAAGGCCTCAAGATTCCTAATAATGTTCAAGAAAGGTCATCCAATAATTTCTGGGGGTGTGGGGAACAAGCTTTTAACATGTTATTGACAAGTTAAAATCAAGTTCAGCACTCAGGCTGTCTTTAGTGCTGTTATTGTCTGGAGACAAAATGTTTTTTAGCTGCTTAATGTTCCACTACATTTACCAGGTATTTGCTAAGTTAGTCTTTTAGTCATTAAGAGCTGGAAAATTGCAAGAGCTTTTCTTTTGAAAGCAGTGACCCAGATATTAACGTGATGAGAAAGATGAGACAGAACCAAAAGCTGTGGACATGTAGGGCTGCCATCGAGTACTCTAAATTCAACTATATAACTGAATACTAAGAAATTTGGAAATTCAACTGTAAAAATGAATGCATGTGTAGTTGAACGGACTCAGATGTACTGTCCTGCGCGGTCAGGAGAGAGCTGAGCCTAAAAGCGAAGCTGTGAATTTACAGATTGATCTAAGCTATGGCCATGAGCTGTAAATAGTGACCGAAAGAATTAAATTGCTGATGCAAGTAGAGGAACTGAGCTTCTGATGAAGGGTGTCTGGGCTCTCCCAGGTGAGGGTTAGGAGCTTGATCATTCGAGCTGGAACTTCTCTAAATCGACAGGAGGTAGTTGAGGTGGTTAGAGTATCTAATTAGCCTGCCTCCTTGAAGCTTCCAAAGTGAGTCGTTTTGGGCATCTCCTACCAGGAAGAGGCCCCTGGGCCAGAGTCAAGCCATGCTGAACAGATTACACCTCACTGCTGGCTTGGGAGTGTTCAGTGTACGCCTAGAAGAGTTGCAGGAGGGGATCGGGCATTGGGAGGTCTAGATGTCTCTGCTTAGGCTGCTGCCCTCTTGACCTGGACCCAGAGAAGCAGCAGAAAATTGATATATGGCTGTGAATCTAGACACAATCCATCCATCCATCCATCCATCCATCCATCCATCCATCCATCCATCCATCCATCCATCCATCCATCCATCTTCTTCCTCTTGTCTGGGCCCCAGTCCCTGGGGGAACCTGAAAGACCTTGTAGAGACACCCTAGGACATGCCAGAACCCTTCACCCAGGATGAACCATCTCAACTGCCTCCTTTCGATGTGTCGGAGCAGCAGCTCTACTCTGACACCCCCACCCAAATGACCAAACCATCTGTAAGGGAGAGCCAAGACACCCATCATCATATCCACATCCCTCAGT